AGAACTTCACAGTTAAGCGTGCTTGACCTGGAGTAGTACAGGGATGGGTGACCTTCTGGGAAGTTTCCCAGAAATTGCACAAATAAGGATAAAACACGCTAAACAATGAAATATCGTGAAATAGAACCCTTGAGAGGCCAAATATAAGGGTTGTTACATTAATAAATTTATTAAAATTAAAAAAAATTATAATTTTCACGAAAAATTCCTTCAAGGTAATTTCCCACGGATATATCCGTGGGTAATATCCGTGGGTAATTACCCACGGATAAATCCGTGGGAAAATCTGTTAGAAAGTTACACACGGATAAAAATTCGTCGATAAATATTTCAGGCGAGCAATTTACCGACGGATTAGTGTCCGTCAGAAATGCACTATTACCCACGGATTTTTGGCATTTCCCACGAATTTTGACCGTCTGTAAAAACGAATTTTATGGTTTTGCTTTGTAGGTTAAGAGAAGAGAAATCAAGACACAAAGAAGAAATGAAGTTCAAAAAGATTCATGAAAGAAAATATGTTTATCTCTATCAACTCAACAAGACTTAAGCTATATCAAAAGGGCTTAATCCATTCCAGAGAAATTAAGATTACAATCTGCCAAAAAAAAGGCTTAAGCCATTCCAGAAAGGCTTAAGCCATTCCAGAAAGGCTTAAGCTATCTCAATTCCTTCATGGTGAAGTACTTAAAAAAGGGCTTGAGCCAATCCGAAATAGCTTAAGCCAATTTGTGGCAGTAAATGACCCCTTGTTATAAATCATAACATATAAAAGGAGGAGAAAAGGAAGACGAAGAGAGCTTTGGAGGAAATGACACACCTGAACCATCTCTTTCTCTCTAGCCTCGAAGATCATCCAAGTTGAAGATTTTGGTGGTGATTCCGACGTTTCGGGAACGGAACGACAACAATTTCTACTAGATTGTTCTTCTTCTTCTTCTTTTGTTGGTTGGCTCTCATGGAAATGAGTAGCTACTCTTTTCCTTTTGGGATTGGATGTAACCTCTTACACCTTAATGTAACTCTTGATTTTCACTTATATGTTATGATCTCTTCTATTTATTAGTGATTCATTTTCATTCTTAATGCCTTTACGTTTTGATCACTCGTATTTGGAGCTTTGATTTAGAACTCGATTGGAAAATGTTTTATAGATCATGATTTAAAATGAATCACCTAATGGTTTAAGTTGCTAGGAATAGAGCTAAAATCATTAGTCTTTAAAGGATTTTCTTAATGCAAGTTTTCCCTTATTTAAATATGCAAGGAATTGATATTTAAAGGGGAAAAATTAGAATCTCTTTACTAAGGAATTAGTATTGAGTGATTGTAATCCAAGATAATATTGTAGGAGAGGGATTAACATATGTATGCTTATTAAGATTACAAAGAGGTGTAGTAGGTGAAATCCAGTCTCAAGCATCTCATATATGAATTTTTCTAATACTTATTTGAATTTGCATATTTGTCACTTGTTTTAAGTTTTATTAATTTTAACTTTGAGTTTAATGAATCAGATGTTGAACAAGTGTGAATATATAATATGTATTTATTTTTTACTTTTCTAAATTAATTGAGAATCAATCAATCTACCTAGTCCCTGAGGAGACGACCTTACTCATCACTGTTACAAGTTGACTTTGGTACACTTGTCACGAGATCAACAAGTTTCTGACTACTATTTGATTTTTTATTCGAATATGTTGTAAGTGCTAATTTATTTATTCAAATATGATGTATTTTTATTCGAATGAATAATGAATAGAAATTCAAAATAAAAAAAAACTTTGGTACGTAATGTAGAAAGAAAAACTAATTTTTCGTTAATTATAATTTTTTTCTCTCTCTATACATTCAAACTAAACAAATTTATACCACTATTTCTATTCCATTTTTTAATTATTTCTCTCAAACCAACATCCTTATTTCCACCGTTTTTCTTAACTATTTTTATTCAATTATTTCTCCATTATTTCTCTCATCACAACCAACACAGTGTCAAGGCAAAGTGTGAGTTCTCTTTATTTTACCTTTTTTCTATACTTCTATTATATGCTTTTTACTTCAGCAAATTGTCCAAGCCTTTTGTTCCGACAATGTAATGAGACTACATGAAAAACTTCACAAGATAAGACCATGCATAAACATTGCATTTGTCATCGTCTAATCAAAATGATTTGTTTCATTTGATTTTAAGAAAAAATTATATTTTATTTCGTTTTCTATTTGGAAATGATCTTTTTCATTTTTCTTTAAAGTAACGTTTATCATACTATTAAGCTTATAAAACTTGTAGTGTTTATTTGATCAAAGGTTGTAACATAATTTTTGTCCAAACACTCCCTTAATCAAGTTAACTTTTTGGCATGGATAATTCCTGATAGGAAAAAATAATAAAAGAGAAAAAAAAAGAAGGATTTTCTTTTCAAAAAGAGTGAGTTCATTCGTAACACTTGTGCTGGTGCGAGGGTTTTACATTGCATTTGGTTGATTATGATTTCATATTCAGCTATTCTTTTAGCAGGAAAAAGACATTACTTACAAGCATGGCAAAGGCTTGACTCTTCGGACGTGATTTTCCACAAATATTGAAGAAAAGGTAAAAATTGAAACACAGGGCTTTATATTATTAGTATGATTCATTACAAGCAATAGAAAAGACGGGGAGGAGGTTTTGGCATTGTCCATTTTCCTTTTAACATTACAGTTGCATTGTACAACTGATTTTTAAATCCAGCTTGATTGAGAGCATACATAAATCTAAAATACAACACACAAGGCTTTCATATCAGGTGGCCTAAATTCAACATCAAGAAACAAGATAGCAATAAACATTCAAACATGTCTCAGAGAGTGTGTCATCATGGTCATGAACTCGTCCATGTTAACCATGTCATCTCCATCAGTGTCCACTGCTCTCACCATTCGCCGGCAGTCCTCGATGCTGCACCTTTCTCCCAGCCTCCCTAGCATTTCTTTAACTTCTTCAGCACTTATTTTCCCATCACCATTCCTATCAAATGCCCGAAATGCACTCTGTATATCCGTTGTCCTAATCCCACCACCTTTGTTCTGAGCCTCCATAAATTCTTTGAAGTCGATGAATCCATCTCCATCCAAATCAACCACCCTGAAAATACTTGGCACTTCATGAACAAAGTTTCCCATGCCTAGAGCTTTCATGGTGGCTTTGTACTCCTGTTGAGAAATTTTCCCATCTTTATTGGAATCAAATTTGTCAAACACCTGCCTCATCTCATCATCGTTAGGCTGAAGAATTGCACCCTTCAGCCCAGAGTTCTGCCTGTCCCGAGAGAACATACGTGATGGCTTCCTCAGGTATTTTCTCTGTGAGAGGTTGTATTGGAAATCAAGGAAACTTGCCCTCGACATTTTATGCTGCAATGGATTTCATTTGACATGAAAAAAGAACATGGTCTTTTATATTAGCGAGAAATGGAAAAGGCGGTGACATTTTATATGCCTATCTATCCTGGTCCATCAGTAATTCCTCATCAGTACGAAATTCAAGATGCTAAACGGAAATGCGAGGTATGAAAAGAATGGTGTGCGCCAAAAGATAACCATAATTTATGGAAAAGAATATATTCTTTCCAAAAGATGCAAGTGTGTTTTCCTATCTTCCTTTGTGGGATTTTCTTTTTCCAAGTCAATTTTCTAGTGAGTACAATCTTTATCAGTCTAATCATATAAATGTTCATTAACGTAATATTTTGAGGAACTATTATGGAAGAATATAACTCATCAAGATAAATAAAGTATAAATTTCCGAGGTGGAGAGAGAAAGGGAATAAAAGACTGAAGGAGGACCATCAACCATCATGGCGGTTTTCCATTCTCCAGATCCTCCATTACGTCAATATCCTTGCGAGCTGTTATCTTCTGCACGTAACCTACAAAACAGACACTCGGCAAATTACTCCAAGTTGACATTCTTGAAAATAACAGTTGATAAAAGTGAAGATAAAAGAACATATAAAATTTCAGAAAGTTGACACAAAATTAAGGTCACTCAGGAATGTTTTTGATAGAAACGTCATGCATATCCATTAGGAAAGTCTGTATGTCATTTTTAGGAAAAGGCTTACTACTTAAGCAGAAAGTTTACATATAAGGAAAAACACTTAAACAGGAATAACCCACTGATATGAATGAAATTATAAAGTGACCCCGAAGCAAGAGACACACTTGCTTTGTCCTGTTATAGTTAAAGTGGTATATATTCAACAGTCCAAAGTACCTAAGAATGTATCCTACATGGAAGGTAAACCCACCACGGGAGAGGGGACTTAGGGGACGGATACAATGCAAATATTAATTCCTATCCAAAATACTACTTCAATACGCAACAAAGCGTTCTATATCATCAACCACTCTCACATCACACGTTTCAAAATAGTATAAACCAAATATCCAAAAGGGAACAGGGAACATCCTAAATCATATCTAGATAACTTATCATAGTTAAAAAGTGCAATTGAAAGAAACAACTAGGTCTTAGAAAAAAAAAATATATGAAGCCACAACTGCTAAACAACAGAAGACTGCAAAGAAGTGTGTACTTGGTATTATTCAGTAACTATTGCCATGTAGCATATGTATACACTCATAGCAGCCTGAATTGTGCGCTGAGGACAAACGACCATGGTTGCGATGGTTAACAAACTATCATCTCATTTACAACCACCCAACATAGCACCTTAGCCTCAGCCTCTCGTTAGTCCTTGCTATTATTGGCTAGTTAATTATGCTTTAGATTGATGGTGATTGTCTCTTGACTACAAGTTATGATTATTAATGATAATATGTTCATAATTTTGGGAAACCTTTGATTTTTGAGCACTTATGTCTTTCAAGTATAAATTACACATTTTCCCATTATTTTCACACTCATTCTGCTACAGTATTTTTGGGTTCAGCAACTTTGCACTGTTAACAAGGATCGATAACTATGGGGAATATAGCTTGCCTAAGTCACAAATCAGTTGACATGAATGGGGCATGGCTATAGCCATGCAATACATTAAATAAAGGTGCCATGAATGCAAAAAATTCAGCAACAACAAAACTTTCCCTGTATTCTACATGGGCTAATGGTAATTTAACATGTTCACAGTTCACATAATCATATTTCAGATACATAAGATATAAAATTATATCGTACATGATTTTTTGTAAAAAAAAAAAAGTTGTTAAAAGAGAAAAGAGAGGTACAAAAGAAAAAGGTTAAGAAATGCTCAAGAACTAAAACAAGAATAAAAGGTAAACAAATAAAAGAACTAAGAACAAGAAACATGTAATACATCATGTCAATCTCTCTAGTCTAACACAAAAGACCAGTAGCAGAACGCTACAAAGAAACTAGTTGAACTGATTGATCCCAAATGAACACAAGGTAACTAACACCCAATAAAGATTCTAGCATTCTTTCCAACCAGATACATCCAATAATTGCCAATTGAGCAGTGTCAAGCCTTTTAGAATCTCTGCTGGTGCCAAATCTTATAAAATTAAGACACAAACCCGCTAGGGATCCTTGGGGAAAACCCAATCAGCCAGTTGATTTCTCAAGTTTTATCAATCACTCTTCTACCCTCCTCTCTTCTATGCTGAAACGGTTAAGATTGCAGAAAACTAAATTTACAGAAAAGTCATGCCACACGCAACAATTAATAATGCAAAGCACGACCATCACAAATAGAAAGACATTGAAGTTGAGTCGTGACTGAAGGATAACCAAGCAAATGGATATCATGGAACAATTACATCTAGACAGGTTTGGATCACAACTCTCAACTCAAAAGCTTTTATATGCAAATATGCCTCAAAATAAGATGATGTATACATAATAAGACAAAATTCATCTAATTATATATTATATATTCATTAAAAATATACTACACACATAAACAATGTACCAATTTCAACAAAAAAAGGTATGTTTCCATAGGAGTGCAAGTGCAATGGTGCTTCTATCTTTTACCAAGGGCAAGAGGGAAAAAGAGATAATAGATTGCAAACAAAGGAAGAAAGTCATTGTGATTACAGGAGCAAAAAGTTGATGCATAAAAATGAAAATTATCCATGAACTAAGGCAGCTAATCAAGCAAACTTGAGAACCGATAAGCTGGCTTATTTAGAATTCAAGAATATAGTAAAGGTGCTAACAGAAAAAGGAGACGTAGTGAATATTATCAGAGATTATTATCAAGGATATCACCGGTTTTATCTTTACCATATTGAAGCTAAGTTCCTAACTTCAAAGACATCCATGATGCTTAACAGTTCAGAAATAGTTAATTTTTATTCTGGTGCTTTGCTAAAAGAACAGCAATTATCCCTGCAGAAGGGGGGTAAATTAGATATGTACCTAAACATTCCACATAAAAATGAGCCAGCCTAGCACAAAAGGCAGAGCCAAATATCACTATAATCCTTCCCCTGCTCCTTTGAAGACACACACATTTTCAGCTGAACCCTAAACCCTAAATAACAACCACCACCAAACCTTGTCTCACTATAAGAGTGGCCCATTACACAAGGCTCACACCATTGTTGGGTAGTGGAGAGAGTTAGATGGATCCAATTTCTTGGAAACAAACAAAAGAATAAAGAGAAAATTCTAAAACTATATACAAGAGAATATGAACCACTTGTCATGCTAATTTGAACCTACAGGAGAATACTCAATACTCATTCTCTAAATAATCTAGTGTCACAAGTATAATGAGTAAATGCCCAATTTGGCCCCTGAATTTGGAAAGTCCTGTCATATTAGTCCTTGAAACTAAGAAGTTGTCAAATAAAGTTCTAGAATGTCAAATAAGTCCTTAAATTTAACTACTAACCACTATTTTTGATCTATCTATCTATATAAATATAAATATAAATATATATATATATATATATATATATTAACACTTTATTTGCACATTCTTTTGAATTTTTTACTAATATGATTGTCAATTTGCATTTTGAGAGACTTATTTAACAATTTTTCAGTTTCCAGAACTAATAGAATAGTATCTTCCAAATTCAAGGTTAAAGTGAGTGATTATTTCAAATATAATATACTTGTTCGTTGGGCAAACACATTTATGTAGCAACGACATTTAAAGGTCATCCCATGACACTCAACATATGTTCATTAAAATTACACTTCTCTCCACAATGAATGAATCTCAATGCACACAAGTTTTATCCCAATGAACACCATCCCAAGCAGTCACACAACGAAATATTAAAGACAAGGCATGTTGAAGGCAAAGGCATTACCAATTCCCATGCAAGGAATGCATTTGCAGGTAGTCTCCTTCCCTCTCTTGTTATAGTAGCTCACATATCCCGAACCTTGGCAACTTCGGCACTTGCCAGTCCATTCATACACCACCTCTTTACAATCCTAAGAATCGCACATTACAAAAAATAAATAAATAAATAAAGATTAAATGTTTTTAACTTTTTCAAAATTTTCACTTTTAATTTCGGAACAATTTTTTATTTTTATTTTTTAGTCCTAAAATTTTGTCGATTTTCATTTTCTTTTAGTACCTAAACTTTTTCTCTAGTTAATATATTTAGTCGTCAGGTTAAGATCTTCTGTTGATAACTAAAACTAAATAAAATTTATTCAGAGATTAAAAATAAAAATTTACAAAAAAAGATTAATTTAAACTTTTAAAAAAAATCATATAATGTGAAACATATTTTCATAGCTAGGTAAAATACTCAAACGGAACTAACTCACTAGACAAATTAGAAGTCAAAAAAGTGGATAAGAGACTAAAACCTCAACTTGGGGATCGCACTGAAGACGCTTATCAATCTCCTCCGAAGAAACAGGCGAGGAATCGGGATACGTCATGGGAAGGGGAAGAGGCTCGGAATCGTTATCCAAGTAGCTCTCTCTCTTCCGCGACCATTTCTTCACCCTTATGGGCTCGTTCCCTCCGCCGCGCCGCCCTTCCGCGGCGAGTCCTCCGCCGTCGGGAAACTGGCCTAGCCTGAGGCCGCCGGCGACGGACTGGAAGAAGGAGGGGCCGGCGGAGAGGTCTCCGGCGGAGGCGCGGCACCGAAAGGACGAGGGGCTGCAGGCTGAGAAGAGGTTGGTTGCGGCATTGGCAGCGAACATTCGCAGGAAAATGAAACCGCGGTTGGATGAAGGAGATTGGAGTTGTTGTTTTTGTTGGGGGAATTATTATTATTTGTGTGCGTGTAGATTGGTGACGGTTGCAGAAGCACTGAAGCAGAGTATTTTATTATCGGATATATTTATATGTGTAAACGGATTTTATGGCTACGTTTGTCTCAAGTGGATGAATTTATGAGTCTTTCTGCTATCGGTTCATGTCGTACTTAAAACGTGAACATGGAAACTATTGGAAAGGAAGGGAAAATATACAACAATTAAAATGTGATAAAAATAAATAAATAAATAAATAAGAGAGATGGAAATAAGTTGTCATCATTGGAAAATGGAAATGGCTAGTTTTTTTGGTCGGCAACAAGCTTTAGACAAACTTTTAGTAAAATTAATTTCATTATTCTTTTTAAATTAGTTTCATCTTTTACTTAAAAAATTAAATTTCATTTTTTAATCGGAATTACTTTTAGTATTTTAAATAATACAGATTGTATCAACTATCGAATATTGAAAATCGGGAGAATTTTTTTTTAATTTTTTTTACTCATTAATCTTGTCCCGTTCCAGAAAAATTGACTCTAAGAACACATGAATATACGATCATATCAAATAAGCATTAAAAATTAATTTTTTAATTTTATTTTAAAAAATAAGTGATTATTTTCTTAAAAGTAATTATCACTAAATATAAGACGTGTTAATTTGGAATAACTAGTTCATTATAAATTAATAAATTTGAGTTGGGTTGAGTCGCCAATTTAATTTAATAATAAAATAAATTTTTGCTTGCTCAATTCATCCTTTGGTAGGTTGGAAGTCAAATGAATTGACATGTGAGACACTCACTTTTTAAAATATGAAAACTAAATATCATTAAAAAAATTATATAATGTTATTTTAATAATTTTAAACACTATAGGATAAAATAAAAATTATAAATTATCATCATTTGTAATATAAAAATAAAAAAATTTAATACGTAATACTAAAAATAAAATGAATTGCATCAAGTGAAATAATAAATAAGTGCTAGAAATTAAAAATAAAATCTAATAAACATAGAATATTAAACTTGTATATTATTAAGTTTATCATTTTAATAATAATTATTAATCGTGGAAAAGAAGGAAATGAAAAGAAGGAAATTCGTACCATCATGATATTCTCCCTTATACACATGTTAGTGCAGTTATCGCTTATCAACGATTTCAAGAATAAAACTTCTATACAATTTTTTTATATTTTTTATTAATTATTATCATATGATTCAAATAGTTTTCATATATAATTAAAATTATCAAAAGTAATGTGCACATCAAAACAAAGAGTGTCTTTTATATATAGGTAAAGATTATTATTATTATTATTATTATTATTATTATTATTATTATTATTATTATTATTATTATTATTATTATTATTATTATTATTATTACACGAAAATAATCTGACCAGGGAACCAGGATCCTCTATTGCCTTTGCAACAATGTTCTGGCCAAAATCTGTATCGTTGGGGAGAATACTTATTACAAATCTATCAACTTGGTGATATATTGGCAAGATTAGCATTGGTTGTGGTAAGTGATAACTAGTAGAATGTAAGACACATGATGTTGTCTCATCAAGGAGGTAAAACATTAAAAACAAAACCGACCGAATGTGCAAATATTTGTACTCAATAGATTCTTTCAATCATATTCTATCATATATACTCAATATATATATCATGGTACAATTACACATGCATCTAATATTTGCAGCAACAAAAGCATACAACCATAATTCCAACGCGATAAAGAAATAATGGGATATTGGTATATATGTGTCAATCTTCACTTCCCATCATGACACTACGATTGTATTGAAGCCTCCCCAGTCACATACAAATCTGGCCCAATTTGCGATGGCTTTATGCTCATTCTCACCGATGAATCTCTAATGCCACCTTGAAACTGAAAACACACCATTATCAACTAGCAATTTGGACTCGAGATTCAAAGTAAGTGTTCGTTATAATTAGCAAAGGCACAAAAGTATGGTGGTGCATGTGCTTACTTGTGCTTTCACTTCACTTAGTGTTGGCCTTTTGAAAATCGGAAGAACTGGTTTTACAGACACCATTTGTCACAGAGCACACATAAGTTAATAGGAAACCAGTGGGGGGAAAATGAACGGTAAATTTGACATGATCCTTTTCAATATATTTGTCAAACCTAGTGGAATTGTATAGAGAGAAAGAAGAAAAACATTTTAGGGTTTTTGTTCTGAAATGGCAAAATCTTACATTTCACGCAGTTTTGGGAGTTTCTCTGTTGATGAAGGAAGCGATCCTTCAAAGTTGTTCTTCTCCAAATGCCTTAACAATGATCAAAGAAAAAAATGAGTTAAAGATCAGGTTGCTATGGACAATTTAAGAAATCTCAAAAATTAAGAATAAAGTGATCATGATGTATCTTATTTGCCACATACAAAGTTTCTAACTCCTTCAGTCCACTCAAGTCGGGAATGTTGCCTGTGAGTTTGTTTCCCCCAAGCCACCTATAAGCAAATATTCACAAAGTGATCACATGATTTAGTGGTTAAAGAAAAAGGAATCATTTGAGATACTTCAAGTCACAGGGAACATTCCATACAGATGAGCAAGTCCAGATAGATGGCCAAGAGTTGGAGGAAGTGACCCAGTCAACCCAGCATTTGTCAAGTTCCTTCACATATACAAAAACCGAAACATGTTAATCCACCTTTAAACATGGAAGGCACAACAAGGTGATTGACAATTGCTTATAGATCCATTTTCCACTTTCATTTACTTACAAGTTAAGAAGGAAGTCAAATGAATCAAATAAAGCATACTTTACAGATATGTTGGCGTGAACTTACAGTGTCACGACTCGTGCATGAAAATCACTAGAGCACGTGACTCCAGTCCACGAATTTCCCTTAGGTAGACAAGGATCACCGTTCCAATCAACAGGTGGATTATGAAGGCTTCTTGCCAAATCTTCCATTACAATTACTATGGATAGCCACAACAACTAAATGATTCAAACAATACGTAGCTTCATGATTTAATTTAGTCAACGACATTGCAAAATAAAATTTGTTTGGATACATTCTTAGAAGAGTTTTTGAGAATTTTTCTACGAAAAATAAAAATCATTTTTTAATTGAAAAACTTTAAAAAGTTCTTTTAAACGTTTACCTAAATAGATCTAGACTTAGTGGGATTAGTAAGTTACCATCTCTAGTGCGAGTTCGGCCACCAAGAGGTAGAATCTGGTAAATTTCTCCAGCATTGATCACAGGTCCAACAGGTATTCCACTACCAGGGGTCAACGTAAGTTTGGTCTGCCCCGAGAGTGGCCATTGTGCAGCATAAACAGTGACACCGTTAGTTGTGGCATTAAGGTTGGAAAAGAAGGTGTGGCCATTAATAGAAACGTCGAAAACTCTCCAACTGTAAGGGCTTGGATTTCTGTTGTCCTGAAAGTAGAGGGAAATGTAGTAATAGGTGCTTGGAAGGGACGCACGAGGCCACTGAATCTCAAGTGCCTTCCCTCGACTAGTGGTGATTGCAGAACTAAATGCTCTAACTGGAGGGAGATTCCAAAAGTCTGAAGGAGTAACATTTGCACGAGTTTTCACAACAGGATTATCGTCCTTAAATGGTTGCCACATTCGGTTGAATTTGTCATCTGGAGAACTAGGTCCACATATAAACATCTTAGTGATTAGAACTCCCACCATGCTTGTAATTAGTACCTCATTTTCTATACTATTTCTTTAAACAAGTTTAAGACGTACATAAAGAGAAAATGGTCCATACACTCATAATTTCATATTCTATCAAACAACCTCACCCTCTACGATCTCATACTAACCCATAAAATTTTCAATTGTTATATATATATATATAAATTGTTATATATATATACGAGGAAGGATCCTTTTATTTCAGGATCCGTTTATTTCAGGAGTAAGTCTATTTAGATTTATTTCGTTCAATAACTCATATTTTATATTAAATTTCAACGATTCAACTGTTGAATTTAAAGTTCTTAATGTATATGAATACCATTTAGATGACATGTAATTGTTTCAACATCTTCGGTTAATCTCGTTTTACTTTTATAAGAAACAATACCACCTTTATAACTAATGTTGCTATTCTGAATGATATTCAATGATATTCTATGTTCTCAGATCAAAAGTTTGATTCATGCATAACTTTAAAAGTTTTACTAACAATAATTTTTTTTATTGATTAATTATGTGAGTTATAAAAATGAAACTAATGCATACACATTGATAACAATTTTATGCAAAAATTATAAATGTAGACTACATACAAGATTAAAAGTAATTACCCTATATAAAATTAAATGATTTTACCCTATACTCCAAAGAAAATATAAATTAAAGATGAAACAAACATCAATTTACCTAATGATATCTTCAGCTCCAAAAGCATTCCTTGCAACGGTTACAAGGGCATACTTGGTAAAGTCAGTAGATTTATACAAAGAAGCATCCAAGCTCTTAACCTCCAAGGCTGAAATGAAGGGGCTTGAGCTACCCGTGTGTGAATTCCTAGCCAAACACACGCTCAGCGTCTTCCCCGCTGGCACCACCACAATCTCAAAGTAGGAGCTAAGGTCTTTGGCATAGTCCTCTGTCGTGTTCACAACGCCCCATTTGGTCCCTTCAACGATTTGATCAAACACCGGAGGCTGCTTCCCTCCATCAAAACCTCCATAGTAGTACATGGTCTTAACGAGGTATTTTCCGCCCTTGAAGACGGGAAATGAATAGCAATATTTTCTAGCCGATGTGTCCGAAAAGTAACGCAACGTGGACAGTATGGGCAACAAGTCTGGTTTGTTGATGGGGGTGGTGTTTCCCACCTTGATGTAGCTTCCATCAGGAATGTATTTGAGATTGTCTACCGTTACCTCTTTCGTGCCCCCACAGTCTAAATAATACCCTGCATGAATGCATGCATAAATATAATGTCACATGTTACATTAATATATATAGATATATGAAGTTATGAACATAATAAACAATCAAGAAGAAAACCTTATTTGGTACAAACCACAAGACAAGATTTTATCAATTAATGTATCAATTATAGTGATGGAAATTCATTAGTTAATTATATATCATATCGGGGGATTATTTTGATATGATTTGTTTGTACCTAGAGAGATAGAAGCTAGAGCAGAGTGGGCGAGGACAGGAATAGTGACAAGCCATAGGAGGAAGACGGAGGGGCACATACTGTCATAAGCCACTGCCCCGCCTGAGAGCATGCGATTTGGGAAGCTTTTGTGGTGGTTTTGTTTGAAAACGGAAGAGAAAGAGAACGTGCATGGTTTGAGACTCAGAAGAGTTGACACGTCCAAGGCTGTCCTGAAAGATAGTGGCTTGACTTGGTCATACATCCCACCCAATGTGTAATTTTTAAAGCGATTTTGGTGTTACTTGGTATTAATCAGAAAATAGTTTCCTTGGATTATTAAATATTGTCATGAAGTTTCTTTTATAATATTAATGTTATTGTTTATTATCTCTGTTCCTACATTCTACAAGTTAATACACGTTAGGTGTTGGAACCTCTCATTATTCTAATTATACATAAAAATAAAATAAAAAATACATGTGACTCCTTGACATGCGTCTCTAGGATTTCTCTTCGGATAATGCAAGTTCAAAATCGAAATATTTGCTTAATATTGTCGGTATTAAATATTTGTTTCATTTTTAAACCTATTAAGATTGGCCTAGTAAGAAAATTAACTGGTATATGCACAAAATCTTAAATATTAATATTATTGTCATTTTTGTAAACGATATTTTTTATTAATGGACTGTCTCGCCCGTAGGCCGATTGGTATCGCCGAATATAAGGGCTAATATGCGTGTGAGGCCGACTATAAACCTGTGCACTGCCTAGGCCGATTCACGACCTGATCTCACCCGAATGTAACCTTGGCCGACTCACCCGACTGTAACCTTGGCCGACTCTCCCTCTCAGAGCCAGATACCGATCGACTCCCACCCATAAAGGCTTACTCGGTCATTATCCGATTGGACACTCAGTAAATGGCGAGGTCCCACCTTCACTCACCAAGTATTTTCTAGATTGTAACGGCTAAAGAGATCCTCATATTCACGGGGCCCATAAGGCCCGTGAACAAGAAACTATAAAATCCAAAACCCTAGAGTTAAGTAGATAATAACCAAAACTTTAGAAGAAAAAAAAGTGATCCAAAAAAAAAATTATATCAATTTTTGTCGAATCTAACGGATCAATTGAGCTATGTTGGACTACTTATTTTTAGGCTTAAAATTTACTGAGTTTGTTTGACTTAATTTTATATTTTTTTCTTTGAAAAATTTAAATAAAATGGAAAATAAAGTAATGTTGGCAAATGTATTCTATTTTGATAGATCAATGAGTCAAAATTGTTCAATTCAAAATATCATAACAATTTAGTGCAATTTAAATTGCAGTTCAGTTCAAGTTTTTATAGTATAGTTCAGTTCAGTTCAATGATACAAAAAAATAGTTCAGTTCAGTTCGTCTGAATTAATATTTAATTTAATTCATTTCATGAGAACTATTTTTAAGTTCAGTACAGTTTTTATAAGTTCAGTTCAGTTTAGTTCATTTTGCCCACCCCTAAGAACAATGATAATCAATGTTTTAAGTTTGAACAAAATATATGATTATGGTGTTCCAAATCCATGCATGTTGATACTTAATTTATGCTTGATGAATAATTTGGCGTATATATTTTGACATGAAAACTTATTTGGAACTGTAAATACAATTGTACGTTAATGCTTAAAACATGCAATGCTCATTAGCTCAATATTCCTAGCTAGTTATTGATGTCGTACGTTCAAGTCTTTTTTTTTTTAATAATCAAATTAAGATTCAAAGTTGATAACTCTCAGGTATTTTCAGCGATCTACCTTTGATGATTACCTGCATTCTAGTACTGCTCCGATCCTTTGAAGGCTAGGAGAGAAATTGGAAATTGATTTGGCTTTTTATTACATTGCTTCAATTAAACGACAAGGGAGAACAGCTAAGGTTATCTAAGTTTAGATAATAACAATACATAATCAACTTTTTTCGCTTCTTCTTAGATGATAAAAATAATAATATCGACGTGCCTGTTCAAAATATATATCAATGAATAAACCCTAGGGGTGGGCAAAAAAAACTGAACTGAACTGAACTGGTGGTGAACTGAACTGTACTGTACTATAAAAAACTGAACTGTTTGTAAAAAAACTGAACTGAACTGTTTAAAAAAAAACTGAACTGAACTGAACTGTTGGAAAGTTAACTGTACTGAACTATAAAACTGAACTGAATTATAAAAATTGAACTATTTTTATAAAAGGATAAAAATTAAATGTGTCTAACATGTTATGTCTTAATTGATTAACTCGATAGTCTAATAACCAAAACTTTAGAAGAAAAAAAAGTGATCCAAAAAAAAAATTATATCAATTTTTGTCGAATCTAACGGATCAATTGAGCTATGTTGGACTACTTATTTTTAGGCTTAAAATTTACTGAGTTTGTTTGACTTAATTTTATATTTTTTTCTTTGAAAAATTTAAATAAAATGGAAAATAAAGTAATGTTGGCAAATGTATTCTATTTTGATAGATCAATGAGTCAAAATTGTTCAATTCAAAATATCATAACAATTTAGTGCAATTTAAATTGCAGTTCAGTTCAAGTTTTTATAGTATAGTTCAGTTCAGTTCAATGATACAAAAAAATAGTTCAGTTCAGTTCGTCTGAATTAATATTTAATTTAATTCATTTCATGAGAACTATTTTTAAGTTCAGTACAGTTTTTATAAGTTCAGTTCAGTTTAGTTCATTTTGCCCACCCCTAAGAACAATGATAATCAATGTTTTAAGTTTGAACAAAATATATGATTATGGTGTTCCAAATCCATGCATGTTGATACTTAATTTATGCTTGATGAATAATTTGGCGTATATATTTTGACATGAAAACTTATTTGGAACTGTAAATACAATTGTACGTTAATGCTTAAAACATGCAATGCTCATTAGCTCAATATTCCTAGCTAGTTATTGATGTCGTACGTTCAAGTCTTTTTTTTTTTAATAATCAAATTAAGATTCAAAGTTGATAACTCTCAGGTATTTTCAGCGATCTACCTTTGATGATTACCTGCATTCTAGTACTGCTCCGATCCTTTGAAGGCTAGGAGAGAAATTGGAAATTGATTTGGCTTTTTATTACATTGCTTCAATTAAACGACAAGGGAGAACAGCTAAGGTTATCTAAGTTTAGATAATAACAATACATAATCAACTTTTTTCGCTTCTTCTTAGATGATAAAAATAATAATATCGACGTGCCTGTTCAAAATATATATCAATGAATAAACCCGTATAATAGATACATACATTGTTTTGGATATGGTTTTCAAGGAAAAGTGAAACAAAAAAATCTAGAGATTTCTCACTAGCTAGCATTGGCGAAGGCAAGTGGACCGTCTCGGTCGTAGGCCGATTGGTATCGCTAACTCGCCTGTAGGCGGATTGGTATCGTCGACTCTGTCATAGGCCGATTGGTGTCACCGACTGGGCCGTAGGCCGATTGGTATCTCGGACTATAAGGACTACACCTTAAGCCTTTTCTCCTTATAGGCTCAAGGCTGAAAGGCAAGTGGACTGTCTCGGTCGTAAGCCGATTGGTATCGCCGACTCTGTCGTAGGCCGATTGGTGTCACCGACTCGGCCGTAGGCCGATTGGTATCGTCGACTGGGCCGTAGGCCGATTGGTATCTCGGACTATAAGGACTACACCTTAAGCCTTTTCTCCTTATAGGCTCAAGGCTGAAAGGCAAGTGGACTGTCTCGGTCGTAAGCCGATTGGTATCGCCGACTCTGTCGTAGGCCGATTGGTGTCACCGACTCGGCCGTAGGCCGATTGGTATCGCCGACTGGGCCGTAGGCCGATTGGTATCTCGGACTATAAGGACTACACCTTAAGCCTTTTCTCCTTATAGGCTCAAGGCTGGAAGGCAAGTGGACCGTCTCGCCCGTAGGACGATTGGTATCGCCGAATATAAGGGCTACTATGCGTGTGAGGCCGACTATAAACATGTGCACTGCCTAGGCCGATTCACGACCTGATCTCACCCGACTGTAACCTTGGCCGACTCACCCGACTGTAACCTTGGCCGACTCACTCGACTGTAACATTGGCCGACTCACCCGACTGTAATCTTGGCCGACTCTCCCTCTCAGAGCCAGATACCGATCGACTCCCACCCATAAAGGCTTACTCGGTCATTATCCGATTGGACACTCAGTAAATGGCGAGGTCCCACCTTCACTCACCAATTATTTTCCAGATTGTAACATCTAAAGAGATCCCCATATTCACGGGGCCCATAAGGCCCGTGAACAAGAAACTATAAAATCCAAAACCCTAGAGTTAAGAAGACAAATTACACTTTTGAATGTTCTGGCTCGGAGGCTTGATCTAGAAAAAAACCCTAGTCCATCCCTTGGCCGGAACAATTAAAAAAAAAAAGTTAGGTGATTTTTCACTCACGAGGTGCCTTTTACATTTATATAAGAGACACTACACCAAAATTTAGTATATATAAAGTCATTTATATAATAATTTTTAAATAAACATTATATTATAAGATCTGAAGTAATAAGAAGAGTGATTATTTAAATAAACACTCTCTTTTATAAAATTAATTTTTAATATATATATATATATATATATATATATATAAAAGGGCAATTAGTTTTGTGTCGTATGGTCCTTTAGTACTTGAAATGCAATATCCTAGTTTTATTGGTGATAACTATACAAGAAAATTGAAGTCCTCATGTTTTAAATATTTGCTTTATATAATTGGAGTGATAAATTGGCCTGCCTACAACAGAGTAAGCATAGCAAATCAACTCAAACTCGTAGGTACTCGCTCACATTTTGATGGGAAAAATCTATTTTGATTAAGTTTGAGTTTAGGTTTTTTTTACTATTAAAGTCAGAGGCAGAGACATGTACAAGAATGTTATATCTGCTTGTAGGATTAGAAATGAGTTGTATTGATTAAGTTTTATTCGGCTTAACTTAATTCGATAATATTTCATTTAATTCAAAATTTAATTAAAATTTAATATATTTTTTTTTAAAATTTATCAATTTGTTAGTTTGAATCACATGAATTAAAAGTCAAATATTTTGAATTTTATTTATTTTAAAATTCAATTTATTAAATAATTTTTAGATAAATGATTTTTTAATT